TTAAAATTAGAATACATATTTTTGTTAAGCTCATTGAGTTACTTGTATATTCTAGATATTAATCATCTGTCAAATGAAAAGTTTGTAAGTTTTCTGTTATTCTATAGGTTGTTCTTTACTCTGCTGATTATTTCCTTTGTGGCACAAAAGATTTTTAGTTTGATATAATCCAATATGTCATATTTGTTTGTTTGTTTGTTTGTTTTCTGTACTTTTAAGGTTCTGTTGAGAAAATCACTGCTACGTTAATGTCTCAGTGTTTCCGCTCTGTTTTCTTCTAGAAGTTTCAGAGTTTCGGGTCTTTGATTCACATTGACTTGATTTTTGGACAAGATGAGAGACAATGGCAAAGTTTTAATGATTTGCATGTGCATATTTAGTAATTTTGGCACCATCAGTTTAAAAGGTTCTTTTCCCATGGTTTTTTTTTTTTTGTGTGTGTGTGTCTGTGTCGACAATCAGTTGGCTGTAGATGTGGATTTACCTAGAATCTCTATTATGTTTCATTGGTCTGTTAATCTGTTTTTAAGCCAACACCATGCTGTTTGGATTATCTCTGTAGTATTTTCTTGAAATCAGCTATTGTGATGCCTCCAACTTTGTTCTTTTTTCTCAAGATTGTTTTGGCTTTTCAGGGTTATTTTGCTTCCATATAAATTTTAGAATCATTTTTCCAGTTCTGTGAAGAATGTCATTGGAATTGGACTGGATCTGTAGATTACTTTGTATGGATATTTTAACAATATTAATTCTTACAATCCATGAATCTTAAAAGTCTTTCCAATTATTTGTGTCTTCTCCAATTTCTTCCATCACTATTTTGTAATTTCTAATATAGAGGTATTTCCTAGATTGTTTTTTCTCTTCTTCTTTTGCTGTTGTGAATGAGCTTACTTTTATAATTTCTTTCTCATCAAATTCATTACTGGTGTATTAGAAAGGCAACTGGTTTTTACAATGTTGATTTTGTATGTTACTACTTTATTGAATTTATCAGTTCTAATAGTCTTTTGGTGGAGTCTTGATGTTTTCCTACATGTAGAATCTTATCATCTGCATAAAGGGATACTTTGCTTCCTCCCTTCCTATTTATATGCCTTTTCTTTCTTTCTCTTGCCCAATTGCTTTGGCTGAAACTTCTAGTAGTATGGTGAATAATATCAGTGAGAGTGAACAATCTTGTTTTGTTCTTGTTGCTTTCAAAACTTCTCTGAAAAAGAAACTAAGTAGTTTGGAGAGGAAAAAGTAAATAAGATCAGAAAATGGTCTCTTGGCAGTCAAGCAGGAGCATGGTTCAAAAATCTGTCTGAGAGATTGTGAAAAAAAAAAGTAATATCATTCTGCACATTATGTAGTTAGCATGGGAGATGCTCAGAGATTACTAAAGAAATATCAAATGTCAGATAACTATTTTATTACAGAAATGGGCCAAAAATAAACTTTATGATGCTTACTTAGTACAGGACTGTCTTCACTAAAGTAGATGATTCTCAAGGTTGCCAAAGAATAAGAAATGGGTTCAGCCACCTGAAGTTGTTGCTACATTACTCTATGAACTATCCTTTGTTTCCTCAAAACATAGTGGCTTAAAAAAAGGACTGCCAATTTTTTCTTGCTAAGGATCATCAATTTGAGCTGGATGATGCAGCAACCTGGACTGGGCTCAGCTGGATGGTTTTTCTATTGAGATCTTCCAGGATCATTCATGTGGCTATGGTCATCTGCTGAGTTGAGGCACTGTCTCACTCCCATCCTAGTGCGTGGTGTTCTCCAGTAACTGGGACTCCTATTTCTAGCAATGGGGCTTTGTTCTCCTTAAATGGCTTTAGCATTCCAAGAGGGCAAGAGTGGCAGGTGAGCCATCTCCTTGATTTCTCCCCTTCTTCACCTGGAATATCCACATTGTCAATTTTGCCACATCCTTGTCACCAAAGCAAGTCATAAAGTCAGCTCAGTCAAGGGGTTTGGGAAATAGATTCCCCCTTTTAAATCAAGAAGTCAATAAGAATGTGTGGTTATTTTTAACCTTTCTGATATTCAATTTCCTCACCTCTAAGATAGAAATATTTCCTGAGAAGTTTCCAAATAACTTAGAAAAATTCATAGAGCAGCATTGATAGAAAGTAAGATACAGTGTTGCTATTGTTACATTACGTTGTATCACAGTGTAGATACATATTTTGAAGAATGAAACACAGGATTACAGTTAAAAGTGGAACTGTTGGAAAATTCAACTAATAAAACAGGTTACCCATAAAATCTGAGATATTGACAATCTCAGCATTTTAAATGAACCAGATCTAATTGCATTTTAATTGTGCTTCAGATATGACATAAAATTTTAATAGGTGCCGCAGTCTGGTTGGGCACAAAATCACGAGCCACTCAAGCAGGAACAAACTTTATTTTTGAAACTGCCGCCAATACCCCGTACATGCCCAGGGGAAAAAAGCCGATCCACACACTTGGCCTTCTCCCGGAACCCCAGAACAAGTTCCTCCCCTGGAATTCCCTCCTACTGCACTTCCCCAACCAATGGGAACTCTCCAGGAGTCCTGTAGCAGGCCGAGGTGAACAGCAGGAGTCCAATATCCATATGAATGCAAATCTTAACATAATCATATCATCTCAATGGCTAGCTGGCGTCACCTTTCAACCAAAAATGCCATGCATCATATTACTTGGCTGTGGCTCTTAGCAAATAGGTCTATGATTAAAGAACCACAGTTAATAAAAAAAAAAAAGTCACTTAAAAATAGAAAAAAAAACCTTTTAAACTGTCATTATGTCCTAAGCTTATCTTTGAAGTTTTGGTTAAATAAATTCTTTTGAGTCTTTCAACATTTATGTTACCTTAATTTTTGTGTATTTCCTTAATATCATCATAATATCTATAAGCATTTTATTACCTTTACTTGCTACAGAGGAAACATGAGACTTCAGAAAATTAAAGTTGTGTCTGAATACCACTTCTGATTTATTTGCAGATTTTTAATTTATATAAAATCAAGATCTGATCAGATCAGACTGAATGCTATTGGGTTAAAACATCTCAGTTTGAAACTTACTTTTTTCCCCTTCCTTAACCTTTCACAAATATGTTCTTCTTTGTATGTATCTCTGTCTCCAATGTGTATCCATCTTGTTTTAGGATGAGTTTCCTCTGATTTTTTTAACAACTCCAATGTCAGAAGAAAGACTCTGAAAAGTCTTCCTTAACTCCCCTAGTGGAAGCTCTACTCTTCTCTGTCTCCAGAGTGCCTCAGATATATTATATATATATAATCTAAAAATAAAGCTTAAGTACGCATACATTTATATATATATATATATATATATATATATAAAAACACTGTGTCAGTCAGTTTTCCATTATATGTAACAATGAAATAATCAATTTATAAAGAAGAAAGTATCATTTTGGCTCACAATTTTGGAGATTTCAGTCCATGACCAATTGGCCTCATAGCTTTGAGCCTATGGTGAGGCAGCATATCATGGCAGGGAGGACATGGTGGAGCAAACTGCTCATCTCTTGGCCAGGACACAAAAAAAGAGAGAGGAAGAGGACAAATCACAGACCCACAACCTCCTTCAAAGGTATGCCTCTAATGACCTGACATCTTCCACTGGGCCCAACCACTTAATGTTTCTACCACCTCCCAATAGTACCAAAGGAAGGACTAAGACTTTAACACATAGACCTTTGAAAGACATACTGGATCCAAACCATGGCAAACACAGACTATTACATGCCTGTCTCTCCAGAGGCTGTGAACTTCTCAAGAGCAGAAATTCAATTTTTAGTATCTTTAAATACCAATATGTAGGAAAGTCCCTAGGAGGTAATAAATTCTCAATGAAAATTAGCAAAATAAAAGATAATTTTATCATATAAGCTAAGTTTATCTGCAGACTATACCAGTCCTTTGGAGATCCCTGATTTTTCAGTTAAGTGCTATTATGGGTTGGACTATGTCCACTTCAAATTTATCTGCTAATGCCCAAAGCCCCAGTAGTTCAGAATGTGACCTTATTTGAATATAGGCTCTTTAAAGTGGTAATCAGATTAAAATGAGGTCATTGGGATAGGCCCTAATCCAATAAGACTGATGTTCTTATAAAAGGGGGAATTTGGGGATAGATATATATTCAGGGAGAATACCACAGACACGTGAGATAACCATCTACACACCAAGGAGCAATGCCTGTAACAACAACTCCTTATTTCCTGGTCCTAAAAAATAACTTTGATAATTAGACTTTCAGTCCCCAGAACTGTAAAAAACAAAAAACAAACAACACCACTTCTGTCATTTAAGCCATCCAGTCTATAACTATGGTAGCATATGACAGCCTAGGGAAAATATGAATATTTTGCCCTTCCTTTTATTGATGCCAAAAAATAGAGTAAACATGAGATAATTAAGGTCACTTGGAAACCATTCAAGTAAAAATTAAATAAATCTCACTCTTACTTAACTTAGCTTCAAGCCCATGGAAACTGCTACCTCAAACTCCAAGTAAATGCTAGTTTTCTTTTATTTTTTAAGGCAAAGGTTATTATAGTCTGGACTCCATTTTCGTTGTAGGTTATCTGTGCTGAGGTATTGTTTTGGCTTGATAAATTCTACTAAAACCTCAAGAGGTATTATGCAAATAATTACAAATGCCAAAAGCAAATATTTGCTGAGAAATAGTATCTTAAGTCTCTTCTTTATGCAAACATGGCATTTGGAAAGATTCATAAATGTTCTCATAACTATATTCATTAACCACAATTGGCATTGAACTTTTCACATTATGAAGTCTCAACCTCAGGAAATAATAGATTCCTTTCTCTATTCAGAAAGTTCATCCCATCCTGTCCCTAGCCCTTTAATTTAAACAAAGCATGAAAAGCAAACCCAGCTTCCTTATTGGCTTGTGAATGGCAAGCATGCCACTTATACCTTGTGCCTTTCATTCTCCAATGGGGAGAGAGAATGGAAGAAGAGAAACAAAAAGTTCTCAGGGTGTCAGTGATCACATAAAGGTGGGCTGCAGTTCCACCACCCACACAAGCATTCAGATCAAGGAGAGACATGGCTGCTGAGAGCTCACCAACACTTCTGCTGGCGCTCCTTGTCCTGGGCATCTTTGGTAAGCCAACTATGATGATTTTCTTTTCCTTTTGGTTACTGAAAAAAGTTTAGAAGAGATTCCAGTTCTAATGAGCTTGTATTGAGCATTAAACAAGACATAGAAACTCTAAAAGTAAAGCTTAAGTAGGCATACATTTAGATTGCAAAGTGACAAAAATTTCTTATTGAGTTAAATAAAAGATACCTGTTTAATTCCCTACAAATATTTGGCTGTGGGGCTAGGATTGTGGCTCAGCTGCAGAGTGCTTGCCTAGCATGCGTGAAGCACTGAGTTCGATTCTCAGCACCACATAAAAATAAAATAAAGGTTATTGGGTCTGCCTACAACTAAAACAAATACTTAAAGAAACATCTGGCTGTAAGTCTATGCTTTTACTTTATAGATATGATAGCAGAAGTATTACTACAAATAGGTTTAGGGTATTTGTTATAATAATGGTATGCAGATAGAAATGCTACCTTCAACTGATAAAATTCACATATAATCTTTATGTTTGGAACTTTTCATAAAAGGGAATTAGGTGATTTTACCATTGAATGTGTTATCATATTGACTATTCATACTTAAAAACAACGAACTAATGCTCTAGTGTATCTACCAATTTCTCAAATGTAGTAGATGCTCAATAAGTGATCCCTGAACATAATAATATCCAATCAATGATTAGCTTTGTGTGATTGCCTTCCTAAATATTTATCAGTACTGCATTTGTGCATCCAATTGATACCCTGCATTGATTCCAAATTTCAAATAAATAATTAAGGGTTACAGCTGTATTTGTTTTCACTGGGGGTTTTTCTATACTTTTCTCACACAGCTGATCCCTGTAAGGCTCAAGAGTTACGATGTCGATGTATTCAGACGCATTCTGACTTTATTTCTCCCCAATTCATTGAAACATTACAGTTGATACCTGAAGGTGTTCAATGCAGCAGAAAAGAAATCATGTAAGTAGTGATGGTGTGGGGGGATAAGGAAACTCCAGCATTGATGTTTTCAAAGAGGGCATTTCCTTATAAAATGTGCTAGATTGGGAGTATAGGGAACCAGGCTCCTGGGTTGTTATTCCTTCACAGACTAGGAAGATAATTGTCTAGTATTTATGCTCTCATTCCTGAAAACACCATGTACCCTCTTCAGAAAACAAATGAAGAAAGAATCTCAAATGGGGGGACACAGAGTATGAATTCTTTAGAAGAACTTAGCTTTGAAATCAATGAACAAGTATAATAAGCAAAAATATGCAGCCATGAGTAAAGATAAATGGAAAGCTAATTCATCATCAAGAAATCTATTACACACTGGGATATACAAATAAGTTCAATATGGCTTAATGACCTTTGTGATCATTTTTCTGGGGCATCAGCCTACAAACACACAGCTTGGATACTCTGGGGAATACATCTGCTTTTCATTAAAATTTTTTTAAGATTATGAAGTATATTTGCATACTGATTCAATTATTCATTTCTGGCTCAACAGTTGCCCCAATTTCGTGTGAAACAGACACATCATCTCACAGTAGGTTGTAGAGTGTGGGCTGGGTTCTCTGCTTGGAGTTTCATAAAGCTAACAACAAGATGTCAGCTAGACTGAAGTCTCACCTGGAGGCTCCAGGTTAAGAATCCTCTTCTAACTCCAATTGCTGGTAGAATTCAATATTTTTTTTAAGTTGTAGAAATGAGGTCCATATATTGTTGTTAGCTGTTCATCTGCGGTCACTCTCAACTCCTGCAGAATGCTCTAAGTTCCTTCCATGTGTCTCCCTTCACATAAGAAATGAAAATGTGCCCTACATTGTATCTCTTCCAATTTTCTCTTCTGCTACAAACCAGAGAAAATTCACTACTTTCAGGGCTTATGTCATTGTTTTAGGGTCCCTAGAATAACAATTCTTTGGATTAATTTAATCATATAATTAGAAATCATAATTACATCTGCAAATTCTTTTGCCTTATAACATAATCATGAGTGTAGTATCTCATCATATTCTCATACCTGGGCTTATGGATGGGAAGCTTAGTGGGGCTTCTTAGGATTCTGCCTGCTAAAAATATTTTTAAAAACTATGAATATATATGGGTACCATTTGAAGAGCAGATGTAAAATAAACTTCTGTTTATTTGTTACCCAGGCTGAAATCTGGAACATAATAGTATGTCAGAAGCCTCCATGTGTGAACTTCCTATTATAGGCCAAGTGGTGCTTCTCTTTCCAATATCCAAGTTGAAGCTCTAACCCCCAGAACCTCAGAATGTGAGTGTATGTCAACATAAGTTCTTTACGGAGGCAGTCATGTTAAAGCAAGGTCATTAGGGTGGGATCTAACCCAATATGACTGGTGTCCTTATGGAAAGAGGAGATCAGGACACAAACAACATGTGGGTCAAGGGTCAACCATGTGAAGACATGGTGAGAACATGAGCATCTGCAAGCCAGAGAGAGTCTTCATGAGAAACAAAACCTGCCAGCATCTTGATCATGGACTTCTAGTCTTCAGAATTGTGAGAACTCAGAAATTTGTTTATTAAATAAATTTCTGTTGTTTAAGCCACCCATTCCACGGGATTCCAAGACAGTCAAAACAAACCAATATCCTTCCCAAATCATACCCATCCCTTTCCAAGAATTAACCACTATTTTGAATTGTGTCACTTCTTGCTTTTATTTATAGTTTTACCAAATAGGTATGAAACCTACAGTAATCATTATTTATTTTGCCTCTTTTGAACTTCAGGTCAATGAAATTATGCTCTATGTATTCTGTAACTTGCTTCCATTATTTAACTTCATATTTTACAATTCATTCATTTTCATATGTTTATCTGTAATTTATTCAATTTAAGTGATAGTATTCCATTATATCAATACTAAATATATAAATATAAGATGTATTTATCTGATAGCTCTTGGGTTCTATCAAGATTTTTGCTATTACAACCATTCTTTATGTTTCCTGGTTCATGGATATGAAAGTTTCTTAAATTTTCATAAAAATTCAATAGAAATAACCTATTTTATTTAGAGTTTGTATATCTTCAACTTTGCTAGTTAATGACACACTGTATTACAAAGTAATACCAATTCACACTGCTTCCTGAATAAAATCATCTGTTGCTGCACATACTGGCCAATAACTGGTATTGTCAATCTGATGAAAATGTATTGGTATCATGTTGTTCTTTTAACTCACATTTCTATATTATTAATGGGGGTGGATAATTTATCATGTTTATCAGCATTTATATTCTACCTTTTATGAAATTTGTGTTTATTTGTTTCCTCTTTTTCCAATTTGGATGTTACCTTTTCCCTTTTGACTCACAGGGGTTCTTTATGTATTCTGCATACTAATCCATGTCAGTTTTATGGATATAACACCTCATTTTCCAATTTTTGGTTTATATTTTCATTCTTTCTATAGTGTCTTCAGTGAATACAATTTTGCATTTTTACTATATTTGAGTTTGGCAATACACTCTTTTCTGGTTAGCATTTTTAATGTCATGTTTCAAAAAATACTTCATGGATTTCACAGAAATATTCTTCTATATTATCACCTGAAATATTTTAGTATTATCCATTGTGTTTAAGGCTTGAATCCACCTTTAATTTATTTTTGCATATATGATGTGAGAAAATTATCCAGTTTTATTTTACTTTATTCACATGGATCAAAAATTAACCCAGTGCTATCTATTGAGATGTCATCATTTCCCCACTGATCTGCAATGTGCAATGCCACTTCTGCCATAAATTGAGTTCCCTTTAAGTAGAGGTCTGACTCCTCTATTTCGTATTACTGATCATATTGTCTCTACCTATATGTAGTCTTCCTTATTAACATTTTATAATAATTGACATCTAAAATGGACAATTAATCCATCTTTTCCTCCAAGACTGGCTTGTTTCTTATTGGACTTCTGTTCTTTCACATAAATTTTAGAAGCAACTTGAAAATTGCACTAAATTAAATTATAATTTGAATGAAATGTCTTCAAAACCATAGATTCAGAATTATTAACATCTTTATAGTACTAAAATTTCCATTTCAAGAAAAGGGACTTGTTCCCAATTTATTGAGGACTTCTTTACTGTTTCTAAGATTTTATAATTTCCCTCAAACAGGCTCTTCATATTTTTTAATTAAAAAATCTTATTTCTAGAAACTTTACATTGTTTGGTGGTATTATAATAGGCATATTAATAAATGTTCACAGTCCAGCTGTTAGTGTTTAGACATTTGTATTGATTTTGTAATCATCAACCTTTTACTTGGTCATATCATCTGGGAATAATGGCAGTTTAATTTTCTTTTTTGAAAATCTTAGGACATTTATGTATCTTTCTTGCTTTGTTCAGAAGGTTGTGCTAAAAGTAGACAACTTTGGTTTGTATATGCATTTAAAGGAATACTTTCTATTTTTTGCCATTTTGCATGACATATGATAGTTATTCCTTGTATTGGCAATTTTCTAAGTGTTTATTATTATCATTTTATTTCACAATTGAATATTATGTCATGGTATTTTCTTAAACATTGGAATATACACTCTTGGCTCAGAGTGTGGTGAGATGATATAGTCCTTATGTAATAATCTTTATGGAGATACTAGTGGAGCTTTGTGATTCTTATAGTACCCCTAAAAACCAAAGAATTAATTTAAAGAAGAAATTTATGCTTTCCCTGTTCAATTTTTTTTAAAAAAAGGTTTAATGAGTTTCTGATTAAATCAGAGAGATATAACAATAAAGAATATATAATAACTGATTGACAACTGTCAGCCTAGAAGATATTATATTAAAGTAGATTTCTCAGAGTCTAGCACTATACCTGGTACATTTTAAGTCCAAAAAAATATCTGTGGATTGATTTACACCACAAAAAACTCTAAAACATATATTTCTTTAGTTGTTTGAAAAATTATCAATGCATGTTGATATGGCTAAAAGTCATATTCCAATAATATGATTAACAGTTTGAGAAATCTAGGTGTTCATTTTAAGTATATGCATTTCATGTTACAGAAATTATAATTAATATATTTAACACATTATTATATTAAGTGTAGTTCTTGTTTAACCAAAATACTTTTTTATTTTCAGAGTCACACTGAAAGATGGGCAATTAGTTTGTTTGGATCCTGAGGCTAAATGGGTGAAGACTCTTCTTGAAAAGGTACAATTAAGGCCAAGAGTGCTCACATTCACATTTTCTCATTTTTATTTTAATTACAGATATGTTTAGAAATATATACAGATTGTTTTAGATTAGGAAAAAACTACAACAAGATTAGAATAAGTCTATTCCGTAGAAACCAAAAGAATAGTTAGTCCCAGAATAGTGGCATTCACATTACCAGGAACCTTGTCAGGAAAATTCTCAGGACTCATCTCACACTTACTGAAGCAGAAACTCTGAGACTGAGCCCCAAAATTTGCATTTTAACAAGGTTTCCACGTGTTTCTCAAGTTGAACGCCTAGTCCACATCTTCTATTTAATATGCTAACCAGGGTTACCTGTTATAAATAAACCTGTTTAACATGAAAGTGATATAAAATTGCTATCATCTACCTGTCTTATGCAGATCAACTAAGTAAGCTATTGGCTTATTTGCTGAAAGAAATTTTAAGAAGAAATGCTTTTCCTTTAGGAAAATATGGCTATTTATTTCTCCACAACATTTCTACAAATTAAGTACCAAATAGTATTTGCAAATTGTTGGATAGAGAAGGGATAATGAGCACAGGCAAGTGATAATAGGTGTGTATTTGCATTAACTTCTTTTAAAAATAAAACAATACTTAGATTTTTAAAGCCATATTTAGAGTGAAGAGTTGACCAATTAGAAAAAAACTTCTGTTTTTTTTTCCATTAGAAAATTAAGTGGATTTGGAGCCTCTGATTCACTTGTGGGTCACCTTGGTGGTAGAGTAGTGTAACATGATCGGAAGAGCTGTGGTTTAGATTCCCAGATCTATCAGTTATAAATTATGTCATTCTGGAAATTAGCACCAGAGGCTCACATGTTTTCATTTGTTTTCACACTGGTCTCTAGGGGAGAAAAATGGATAATACATGCAAAATATTTAATTATGGCTCTTGTTAATGTTCAATTGACTGACTAAATGTGCTTCATTCTTCATTCTTTTGTCTAGTCTTTTAAATATTTTTTTACAGGTATCTTTCTTAAAACAGCCCACATGTGGGTTATCCTGTGTATCTGTGTAGTTACATGCTACTCTGCTTGTATCGTAGGTCCCTTAACTGATGACACAAGAAACACCACATTCAGTGATTAGTAGGAGCCCTTTGTATCCTTGTGAGGTTGGACATACTCCAGAATGTTCTCTGAAGGTGGTTCCATCTTCTTGCCAATTAAAGACTGGAATGAATGGCTTTATCTACGTATTCTGGAGACCTAAATGTTACTTTCAGGAAGATGACTGGCTGCTTACAAGAGGAGTAATGGGAAATACAGTGATGAAACTTCCATTATATAGGAAAGATAAGTCCCAAATCTCAGAGTAGGCAAGGAGTTTCCCTGTCAGACTCAGTATCTTTCTAGATCCTACTTCCTCCATTGCTTACTGTCCATTTCACTTCATTGAAGATCCTGCTGTTTCCCTCCCATGTTTCCACCCCATACTTTGATATTACATTTAATGACATCATGATTTTTTTTAATCAACACCCTGGTCTTTTGATTGCTTAACCTTTTGACTTCCAATGACCTTCACTTCAACCCCATTGTAGGAGGAGCCTACAAACTTGGATCACAGTATAAAGCAGAACTGATTTATCTCCAGTGCCCAAAAACAAAACACTTCTTTCAGAGGAATCTTTGATTCATTGTAAGATCTGAAATAAAAGTATATTTAAGACAGAATTGAGGCATAATCAAATGTATAAGAGAATTATCATAAATTTTAAGAATTTACTTTGAAATAAAGCAAACCGAATGAATAGCATTGATCAAAAGTAGAAGTGACTCATGGTAGGAAACTAAAGTCGTCATGAAAGGGAGGAAGAGAGGAAATCTAAAACCATCTAGACTCCAGCAAGATCATGAGGACGCTACCCAGAATGGTGAAGCCATGTTCTGACCGTTTAACTTTTTCCTGGTAGAATTTCTGCATATGCATATGCAGCAGCATCAAATACTGAGAAAATAAATGTCAACATTCATGTTTTCCATTTCTGAAGAAGAATGTGTTACAGCTGAATGATTTTTCTCATGGAGCCAAAGCAGGATGCCATCTCAAAAGTAAACTATTCACAGTCACTGGGGTTCTTAAGATTTTCTGTCTTTGCCTTTTTCTGCCATCATGAGATTCAATCCTAGATGTTGACATTTTAATCCCACAATAGAAAAGAAGGCATGGTTGTGGATCTTTGCAAGGCAGAGTATTATAACAAAGATCCTTGTATAAAATCAGAATCTTTAACAGGAACACATCTACTAAAGAACACAGGTTTATAATAAGGCAGCTCATCTGTCTCACAAAATAAACATTTAAGTCTCCACAAAGGGTCTACTCTCAGGCAGCTTGGGGATTCCTTTATAGTACCTATGTGGTCTTGGAACTACTTGGGAGAATAAAGGGGCCCATATAAATGTCTGAAAGAAATGAAATTAAACCTGCCCTAAGGGCACACCTTCAACATAGACCTCATAGAAATCTCAAAAGTGAAACCATGCTGAAGGTAAGTTTATAGTCAAAAGTCACACTTCTGAAGAACCATCTGCCCTAATTAGAAGTCAAAACCCACAATAAACAGCATCTCTAAATTAAAAAGGCTAACATCAACAAAGGAGTCCATTATAAATAGGGTTCAAATCATTAGACACAAAAGAATAAATTGAAACACAAAAAATTAATAAAATACAAGAAGACCAAGTAGACTTTGGGGGTAAAGCCCAAGCAGGTAACAATAAAAGGAATAACAAATTAAGAGGGGAGGGGAGGGAACCTATAGAAATAAACACAATATTATATTCTGGGGTCTTTTTGTAGTGCTAGAGATTGAACCCAAGGCCTAATACATGCTAGGCAAGTGCCAGCTCTAAAGATGGAATCATACAAGGTGAAAGCTTATAGGATAGTTTAATCAATAGATTTGATTAAGCTAGAGATATAAGGAAATTATCTAAAATGCAGCAAAGAGATAAACATATAGCATATGCAAAAAGGAGGTAAGAGACTTGGAGAATAATATAAGAATATCTATCTTCTGACTGTAAAAAGAGAGAGAAAGGGTGGAAGATAATACTTGGAGAATAATATAAGAATATCTATCTTCTGACTGTAAAAAGAGAGAGAAAGGGTGGAAGATAATATCTAAAAGGTTAATGACTGAGAATTTCCTAGGACAGATGAATTTTTCAAATTCAGGGAGACCAATAGGTTATGAGCAGGACAGAAAAATAAAATTAGCCCTTTAGTGACACTGTGTTGAACCTGAGAGATCCAAATGTCAAAGACCTTAGAACAAAAAGCAAAACTTACCATGTGGCAGGTATCACTTGAAGGAAGATTCCAGGAAAGATCAAACCTGTGCCAGTTCCTGAAAAAAAAAAAAAACATGATTTTTCTACAATGGAATTGCTCTGTATGAATTAGAGTCAAAGAATAAGAAATCTGCTTTTTTGAGGGGGAGGGTTTAGGACTGTAATGAAGAATTAAAATCACCAAATGTGTTATATATAACTTTTATATCTAAATTTGCGATGAATTCTAAAGGAAACTAGTATTGTAGATATCAGGGTTAGTGATGTATTGACTTATGGACTAGTTTTACTAGTAATGTTTGTGGTCCAAAGCCTATATACCTAATGATTCACACTGTTAACATTTCTCACTATAGCCTTTCTCTCTAGGTTCAAAGAGTTGGTATCAAACTGTAAACTTCTGAATACATTGAGAAAAGTAAACCTTTCTTATTGCAACCCCATCACCCCATCTTGGTGTGTTAATATGGGAAAGTGGTAAAAATTGATAGTTAAAACAGGTTTGGAGCACACAAACCCTAGTCCTACTAGTTACAAACTAAGTAACTCCAGGCAAGTAACTAAGACCCAGACTGCTTCTGTGAAGTGTTGATACTTCACACAATATCTACTTTATTTGAAATTAATTGAAAAGACTGAAGAAGCAAATGTCTTTCACCAATTTATGATCTAGAAGTCAATCAAATTTCTTGCATTCTTTCTAAAAGTACTATTCCATTTCTTGGTCTAAAGCTCTTATTAATACTGAGCCCTCTACTTTGTTGGGTTCTCCTTGCCTTGTCTCCTTATCCTTCACCTCATCTAATAATTTAAGATCCAGAGAAAGATTTTGTTTGCCACTAAATCCAGGATGTTCTCCCAGATTCCTTAAAATTAGGATGTCTACACCTCATCCACATAAACTGCCAAAATTATAGTTGCTTCATATTTAACCTCACTTCATAGAAGGAGGTTTTGAGTCAACACAAATTTAAATGACTTGCCAAAGTTAAAAAACACTTAGTGGCAGTGCCAATGCAAGAAGCCAAGAATCCTGATTTTTATCCCAAGGCATTTCCCCTACTTCCAATTCAGTTATCCAGGTAAGCCCCAGACTAGATACACCAAGCCTCTGTGGGATGTTAAGACATAAAATCTGCTAAAAGAAACCCTCTGCATATTTCTAGATGAGGCATGTTTCTTACCCCATGATATAGGAATTAACTTCTTGGGCTGACTTAACACATCCTGATGCCACTCCCTGGCAGCCCTCCCAGCCTCCTTTCACTGAATCACCAGGTGCCATGAACTTGGTGCATACTGATACCTATCTCCTGTATTTTTCCTTTTAGTCTAACAGAAATATGTCATTATTTTAATGAACCCAATCTCCTTCCAGAACTCACCATTCACACAGAGTATTTCTCTTCCCTTGAGCCTCATTCATTGTATGTCACAGATTAAGACTTATCCCACCATCTCTCACTCCCACCCCTGGGCAAACATACATTTGCCCATATAGGTATCTATACCCAACCCCATGGGTCAGGAAGCACAAGGAAGAGGAGATACATTCATTAACCTCCACAAACCTGCTACTTCTCTCTCTCTCTCTTTTTTTTTTTGCCCACATTTTATTATACTACCATTCACCCAGCTGCTTAAACCAGGGACCTAGGGTCATTGAAAACGGAATTCCTCTGTTCCATATGAAACCAACCTATAAGTCCTACCATTTCTACCCCCTTATTACCCCTCACTTATCCCTCCTTTGTCTTCTGCCATAGCAGTTGTTCTCGTCTTCTCCAACTTTCATTGTATCACTGAAATAACCTCTTAACTAGTCTCCCTGACTCCAGTCTGTCCCTATTTTAGTCAGTCTTACTCACTAAAAAGTGATTGTTTTAAAATTCAAATTTCACAAAGTCACTCTCCTGCTTCAATTCTTCATCTATGAGAATAGGATACTAGGGTCAGAATATTTATTTCCCTCCAAAATTCATATGTTGAAGTCTAATCACCAAGGCGGTGTGTGGAGAACAGTGACAGTGATTGGGAGACCAGTGTCTGAGACTGGGATCCCTGATGACTTCATGGCTGTGGTATGCTTGTGACTGGGAAAGTTTCTGTGCAAAGGTGTAGGATGCCTGGTTGCTATGGCAATGCTCTCCACGGGTAGATACTGTTTCTATAGTCTTATCAGCTTCGACCTTGCTCTCTGGCACATAGCTCCTGGGAATGAAGGGACTTCCTTGCTAAGACAACCACAACTACTCACCAGTTCCTCTCTTGCTGAATCTGCCCACAAATTAGTAACTTTAAACTATGGACTTTCTTGAGAGCTCCACAATTCTCCTAACATTGCACATTGCAACTGTAGAATGTAACTGAGGAAACAGCTGCATATGCATACTAACTCTGTAACTTTCATGAGTACAAAGAATAATGCTTGCATAGTCTTTAATCAAGATTGCTGGTATAATTCCTTAGACCTGTTTCTCCAACAGAGAGCAGTGCTCTGTCTGATCCTAGCAGTTTTATCTTCAAGATCAGCATGTGTGAGTCTTCTTTTGTCCAATCTCTCATCCCCCCTTGCCAGAACCTGCTAGTTTGGCCACACTGGTCACAGCAGTGGTGATATTAGCAGATAAGGTTGGTTGATAGATGATTGGATTATGAGGGCAGAGTCCTTACAAATGAGATTAGTGCTCTTATGAAAAAATGTTCCAGAGAGACATCTTGCCTCATGCACTATGTGAGGACAGAGTGACAAGGTGCCATCTGTGACTCAGCAAGTAGGCCCTCATCAGACACTGAATCTTCTTTGATCTTAGACTCCTTAACCTTGGGGCTACTAAATGAATTTTTGTTTTTTATAAACTACCTAGTTTCTTGGATTTTCTTTATAGAACCCTACATGAACTAAGACACAGGTCAATAATTAAAACTTCCATTAATCAGATCCTTTATGAAGTGTGTGTGTGTGTTTGTGTGTGTGTGTGTGTGTGTGTGTGTGTGTTGCTGAGGAGCAAAGCTGTGTGTGTGTGTGTGTGTGTGTGTGTG